GTGTGCAGTCCAGACCAGCAGCTCCCTCACACTCATCACATTGATCCTGTGTTTGGTTTGGGGCAGGATAAGGTGCTTCCTTGCATAGTGTCCCATCACCTGCAAACCACCTGCATACTTCAGATTCATAAGGCAAAATGTAAACTGATCAGCTCTCTTTATAAAAAATACATCTTATGCTTCAAAGGAAAACTTCCTTTTCGTGTAAGAGCAGCACCATCCTCTATGGGATGTTTGTGGATATGTGCAGCACACCTGTGAGACGGTATTGTTCCTAGCCAGGAGGGAGCTCTTTGACAGGTAGTGCTCTTGTGGTGCATTGTGAGTTTAGTTTTCATTCAGCTTACCACTCATCAATTCTCTTTTTTTTTTCTTTGCCCCTCTGCAACTAAAAGCATCATCAGGTGCAAACACCTTGGTTGCAGACGATCATAAAACCATAGCTGACCAAACACAGCTGGACCCAGCAGAGGATGTGAGCCTTGTCTCTGAGGAGACAAACCTGGGGGAGCATCTGCCAGGAGAGGAGCCTGCAGCCATGATTCTGGATGTTGAGGAGAAGACCGATTCAGTCAGTAAAAGGGAGGAGCCAGAGGGCACCGAGCCTGAGCCTGCAGGAGCAGAGGAGAGCTCTGAGCTGCCTTCTGTGTGGAGAGAGGAGAGCAATGAGCCTTCCCCTGCAGCACCAGATGATGTTGGGGCACCATCACCAGGACCAGCTGAGGACAGTGGGCTGGTAGAGAGCAGTGACAGCTCTGTAGTGGAAGTCATCGATAAAGTACATATTACTGAAGAGGACCACCTCATTGAGGGTAATATTTGTGCTTTCATAAATTCAGGAGATCAAATTTTGCCTCCAGAGACTTCTATGTGGGTACTTAGGAATTTACTAAGAGCCTCGCAAGAGCTTCTGGAGTCAGAATTTGGTCCTGGGAGTCTGTACTGTGTGCAGCATAGAAGAATGTGGCTGAGGAATCCTCAGATTTACAAGCCCAAGCTGTAATAAATTTAATCAGCATTTCCAGTCATTATCTCTGCTACTTCATTTCGTGTCCTTTTTGTTCTTAGCAGGTAAAGTGCCCCACCATGCCCCTCATTTAAAACATTGTGTCTCTGTATAGCTCAGACACAATCCCTTAATATTTGCAGAACCCAAAGACTCTATTACTTAGTCACAGGTATGAGTTATAAAGTAACTCTCCCTGGGCACGTAAACTTGGAGGCTTCCTGGATGTATAAGAAAAAAATCTCTTTGATGTATGCCTGGCATATCCAGTCCTAGAGCCTTTGCTACTAGACGAGCTAAATAGAAGTAGTAGCAGAGGGACATTGGGCTGGGCTTTCAAAAAAAGTCTGGAGATGACTAGCAGTGGAGGAAGGCTGCATGAGGAATTAATGGTGTTTGAGATGGCAGATATTTCCATGCGCAGTGAGGGACCTTTAGTGGGAGATGTGCTTGCTCCCGAAAATTGTAGGCTATGCTCATCTTTGGCTTATTGCCCAGAGGACATGGACTGCACATGCAAAAGGTGAACACTTCACAGGAGGAGTCAAATTTCTCCTGAATTGTACATAGTAGCTTGGTATGGAATCAGATACGTCCTGGGGGAGCTTTTTTTCAGGGAACAAGCAAGTGAAGCACAAGGAGGAATATTTCTCTGCAGGGAAATATGGTATCAGCAGCCTTCCTTACGCCACATTTGTCTTGAAGGAATGCAAGATGCAGGAGAAGGACTGGTCTGTGGGAAGTCCAGACCCAGTTACATACACTACCTACCACTAATCCTGTGGCTTTTCTCTGCATGTCTCTGAACTGGCTGTATAAATCTCACTCTTTGCATTCCAGTAGCTGGGCAAGGTGGTTGGCTTGCTTTGTCCTCTCCTGTGTCTCTTCACAAAAGAATTTTGAAGTTTCCCCTACATAAAATGGGCATCTATCCTTCAGCATAAAGCCTCATTTTATGTAAGCAGTAAATGACAGGATGCTCACCTGTTAAACACAATCTTGCCTACTTGCAAACTCATTAATCACCATTCTAAGCCTCAGGGCAGAATGCTGAAGGCAGAGCAGCACACACTGAACATTGCTCTGCCACCTCCTGTCTGTGCAAACACGTTTACAGTTGACTGTTTGGCTGAAGGTGAGTTGTGGGGCTTTGAGCACCAAACGACGTGTGCAGGGCTAGTGAACAAGACTTTTGGGAAAAAGAGTTTTGCTCCTATTACTTCCAAGCTAGAAGTAATATCTTAACTTGTGTGCATTCTCTTTCCATGAGGCATATGATGAAGAGTCTTTACATTTTTATGCTATGGTGCATAGGATACTTAGCATTTGTTTAATTTTCCTTTATGCTTCCATAGCTGTGTGAGGAAATGAATGAGGCAGCAACTTAGCAGGGAAAACACATATTCAGCCAGGCTGGCATGCTACTGTGCTTTCTATTTCTGTTTTATTCGAATTGCAAATAAAACTGCACATTTACAAAATAAAATCAAGGAAAAATAATTTGAACAGAAATAGTACTCATGATGTCTTTTTGATATAGCATCAAGGGGATTTTGTGAAAGCATAAGGAGAACTTCCTGGGCATGAGGCATGCATGTAGCTGGATGGGATCATCCTGTTTGTTCCCTATGAATTCAATCAGGGTGTACCTTGGTAAGGGGCATTGGAGAGCTGACAAAGCAAAATCAGATTTACAGAAGGGAGATGGGGCACTTGGTGCTTTTCTCAGTGGATGCTAATTTGATCTCCATGGTTACCATTCCCAGGTGAGACGGGAGAACAGGTGGAAACTGAGCTGCTCAGTGAGACAGTAAGTGGAGGGCCTGAAACAAAAGAAGAAACAGGAGAAGCTGTGGATAGTGCAGCAGCGACAGAGATGGGTACGTTGACAGAGGAGGGAAAGACCACATGGGTTATTGTTTAGGAGACAGAAAAGACTGTGCTGTCCTTAATGAGCACTTCTTGTCATTCCCCTACTGGCAGGCAGCTGCTTTCTGCATTTTAACATGACAGCATCAAAAATACTTTGGTTTACCTTAAGAGACATTTTTTGGAAGCAATCAATTGGAAGTCATGCTTTTTACATGGGTTGTCCTTACACAATATATGAACCTTACCAGAGATAAATTATCCAGCTTTGGAGAGAATGCTAGACTGTGACATGCAGTCTTGGAAAATAAAAACCTGTGTTAAAATCATGACTCTGGCTCAATCATTATTTGCAGGCTTCTTCTAAGGTAAGCCTTAAAGTTACTTTGTGATTTCCATTCTGTGCCAGTCATTTTAGATCCTCTTGTTCTTCATATCAGCTGGAATCAGCAGTGTGGTGCTGCGGGGAAAACACATTGCACAGCAAATGCAGTCACATGGTGGGAAGGAAAAGTCAGAGGTCAAATAAAGTGCCTTTGAAAACTGGTCACACCAGTGAAAAGAAAAATTCGAGGGAATGGGATTATCCCTCTGGCAGACTTTGAAATTATGGTCACAATTCTGTTAACAGTGTCTTTCTGCAAAAGTTATTTCTTTTTCTTCCTCCACAGTCACTAAGAATCCCACACTCAAGTACATCACATAAGGTGATTATGTGCCTCAGAAGACAGAAGTGGAATAATAGAATTATTTAAGTTGGAAAATACTTCTAAGATTGAGTCTAGCTGTTGGCCCAGCACTGCCAGGTCCACCAGTAAACCATGTCCCTAAGTTCCACATCCACGTGTTTTTTAAACACTTTCAGGGATGGTGATTCCACCACCACAGATTACCCCATGGTATTGCTGGAACGTGGAAAAGGATGAGCAGGCAACACAGGCACCTCCTCTCTTCCCCCGTTGAACATTATTGCATGACTGAAACCACCTTTCCTCTCTCCCCTCCCTCCTAACCACCAGCCTATGTAGCTATGCTCAAAATCTCTCTGGGATAGTGAGTATTTCTGTATTTGAGGATAGCAGAAAGGGTAGTAGATACCTTACACCAGTGCCTTTCGTGACTTCCAAATGAACATCTTGCAACTGGGATGAGAAGTCTTTGGTTCCTTCCCAATGCTGGCAGACACCAGTATATGCTAGTATATGCCAGCTTTGAGCTCCCAGCAGCAAACCAGCTTGTGCCACTTGTGCTACAAGACTAAGGAAAATGTTTTTCAGCACAAGCTCTGCAGCCTGGAAGACCGATATCGTGATGGTCTAGCAGTTTGGTCAAGGCCATTTATGCCGTATAGCTTTGCTTATGAAGTCAAAACAATTCTATTCAATCAACTTGTTTTCAATGTCTTGCTCATATGCTTTTGCAAAGAATTATCTGTCTGTGCTGAGTTCAGCAAAGCATTTGAATCTGGGAGAATCAAAGAACAGCTTAAAATCAGCTTCCTGCTCCTGAAGAGTAAGAGAATCATAAAAAGGCTTGGATTGCAAGGGACCTTAAAGATCATCCAGTTCCAGCTCTCCTGCCATTAGATCAGGTTGCTCAGGGTGCCATCCAACCTGGCTTTGAATACTTCCAGAATCCAGAAATTACATCATGTGATGATTACAGCTTGATTGAAATACTTTCTGCATTTTTCTGCTTTGACAATATTCTCCTCAACAGTTTTGTAGGGAAGCAGAAAAAGCAGCCCTGCTTCTGTGTCTGTAATGCATTTCAGATGATGGGAGTGCAGCAATGCACAGCTCGGAGAATGGCTGCGGGCGAGAAGAGAAAACAATGTTAAGAATGGAATAGTGACCATTTAAACCTGGGATGCTGTTGTGTAAGGGAGCAATTCTTTCATCTTGAAAGGATATTGAAGAACTAAAACAAGATTCTGGGCAGGGAAACAGAATGGCTTGAGGGAAAGAAAAAATTCTTACTTTGAGAGACATCAAAAACATACAGAGCCTTGCCTCTGAGAGGGTACGACTAAGAGGATATGAGCTTTTCCTAGTGCAAAAAAATACTGCTCTAAAGGTAGCTGGAATCCATCTCTTGGCAAGGGAATGCTCAGTGACATGCTAAGTGTGTTGAATTCAAAAAATTCAAAACCATTAAAGGTAGTTGGTTATTTTTCATGCTATATTAGCAGTCTTCATGCAAATTAACTGTCTTTGTCACAGTCAGTCACTGCAGTTGGATGTCTGTCACTCACCTTCACTCCCATGCAAATTTCCCACCTTGACTGGTAGTTTCAGGGGCTGGTTCCCCAACCATACTTTATCATGGAATGGCTGAGGTAGAAAGGTGCCTCTGAAGCTTGTCTAGTCCTGCTCCAAGCAGGGTCAGTTGGAACAGGTTGTCCTGTTGGGATTTGAATCCCCAAGGATGGAGATTCCATAAATTGTGGGCAGCCTATTCTCATCAGTCAATTGTCGTTACATAAAAAAAAAATTATTTTCTTACATTTAAATGTAATACTCTGTTATTTGAATTTATGCCTTTTGCCTCTTGTCCTTATTTAAGATTTAATGTCCATGAGATGCCTGCCTCTATGTCAGCTATGACTGAAAGTGATTTCAAAAGTTAAGAGAAAAGGCAGCAGGGTGGGGAGAGCATAAGACTGTTGCAGCGTAACACGGGGGTGATGTTAATGTCTGTGAGAGGAAGATTGTATGAACAGGATGGGGCAAGAGGAAGCAGAGCCAGTGGCTGCTAGTGGTCATGTCAGGTCTACACAGAATATTCTTACAGATCTGGGAGAAGAATAGATACCCCCTTCATCCTGTAATGCTTCCAGGGAACTTTCACTTTGAATTCCTGTGAGATTTTTGTGAATATCATGTTGTACCTTCAATTAATTGCTAAATTATTTTTTCCATGTGTTTCAGAGACAGCTAATAACAAGGAATAGAAGTTATGTCTCTATGAACGTCCTCTTCTTGGGCCTGCTCTTCTGTCCACATGAACATTTTAAAATTTTATTGGGTTGGGAAAATAGAAAAGCTTTTATGGATTGAACCACAAGCTACAGACACATGAATAAAAGGCATCAGAAAAAGTTTTACACAATGTAAATATTTTTTAGTTCAAGCTGCCAAGACCTCAAGTGTTTGAAATACCTAAACTTCTACCACCCTTCCACAGAGTGCCTTCTGCACACAGTTTGATATTTTTCCAAAAGCATTCAGTTTACAATTAGGATTTTCTTTCAGGTTCAGATAACTAACTTCAAACTTTTTTTACCTTCAATCAGCCTTATGTAGGATAAAGAATACAGTGCAGCTTTTTTTTTTTTTTTAAGTGATTGTAATGCAGGCAGTGGGCAATTTCTCTGAATGCCTGGACTACCAGTGTACAGAGCTGCTGAAGTGTATAGCTTAGAGGACTTAGAGGACAAACCTAGAGGACTGGGAGATGAAAATGCCCATTTACCAGGCTGTAACGAAATGCAGAGGTTATTTTTCCAGAAAACAGAAGATAACAGGGTGCATTGTCCAAGACCCAAGTGCTAGGTGCTGCTCACTCCCCATTTTTAAACATAAATTTATTGAAAGGATAGTAGCACAATATACGTGATGACTTCTGCAAAAACAGGGAGAAGAGGCCATTCTTAACTGAGTAGGATGTTTTAGTCACATAAATCCTAGAAGATAACTTCACAGCTGTTAGCATTCAAGGTGATTAACAACCTTTCTTTAGCTGTGTAGCTCTCTTCATATGCATTTGTGGCTTCTAAAATAGGTTTCTAACCAGAGACAACTATGAGCCTGTTCCCGAAGGAGAGGTCATCTATTATATTTCCCTGTAATGCTGTCCTCCCGGAGAAGTATGCTATCAGGGACTGTACAGGCTGTTTTCTAAAATGCTAAATAATCATTTTGGAGCTGAAGCTGAGTAGCAAAGCTTTCAAACAAATTTCCTGTGAAAACTGGTCCTAAATATCGTTAGTGTTATGGATCAGATAGAAAGCAGAAATTTGTTCTGATGGTGAATGTTGCAAAGGGACTATATATTGTATATTATTGGGGACTGTGTTAACAGGATGCTCTAGCATAAGGAAGCAGAACATGAGAAAAAGGTCATTTACCTAAAAAGAGCAAGCACATGTTGCTGTTTTATTAGCTTTATTGCACAAAAAGACTTAACAACATTTTTTACTGTCACTAGTAAATTATATAAAGCCCCTCTAAGAGCTAAATTTTGTGCTGCATGTGCACATCTGACCCTAGCTGACTCTGGTTTGTATCACATAATCTAGCTGATATCCTTGGGCTATCAGCCTTTTGTGTAAACTGATATAACTTGGCTATATCACTAAATCTAAGGTTTTCTGCTTTGCAGCACTCTTCTGAACTTGTCAGCTTCATTTAATGTCAGCTTCCTATAGGCAACACCATAAACTTTTAGAACCCAAATGCATATTCACTATTTTTTTAAGGAATGTTTTGCAAGGTGGAAGTTGCTTTTATCTTATTTTTATTTTTACTAGCTTACTATAATAGAGAAGCTAAAATGAGCAGCTGTTTCTATTAAAAATTTATGAGATTATTAAAAAAGTGAGAGTTAAAAATCCAAAGAGAGGTACTCAAAACATGACAAAAATTCATGAGAAACATACCATGCACTTTGGAGAGCTGAGGAGTCGGGGAGCAGGTACCGAGCACGATGAGGACAGTCCTGGGTGATACAGGACTAGGTGTACATCCAGGGTCCAGGATGCCCCAACAATTTCCACCTTCAGCTGCACTTCAGGACTGATTTCCTCCTGTGAGCTGGGAATTCAGGTCAGCCACCAGCACCTGTGCCAGCACAGCCCCACTCCCAAACACAGGAGACTAAAGTGGTGGAGGAGCCAGGCTGACTACTTGTAAGATCACGAGCTGCAGTTTGACCAGCTATATTAAACAATTTTAAAGCATAAACCAAGAAGAGTTCTGCGACAGAGATCAGTAGTATTCATAGCAACAGAGGAGGCTGCACTTGGAAATATAACGTGAAGATACAAGGGACTCAAAATGACCTGCTCACCTCAGAGTCACTCTTTTCTACCGCTGTTGTTACAAAGAAGATGGGTGACAATATATGTTCTTACCTCACTGTTCCACTTTTTCAAGTCAGTGAGCAATGCAAATAGTAAAAAGATGAATATAAACCAGTCATTGACCCAGCAGTATCAGCCTTTCTCAATCATCTTCATCCTTACATACTCTATAATTACAACAGATGAAAGCTAAATATGCTTGATACTTTGATAAACATGAAAAGTTAAATCTCCTAAATTCTTACAATGCAGCTGCTAGATAGATACTGAACATCTCTGCCTTGAGAAATAAAACATTCCTACCTTGAAAATCTCACTGGGGTCTAATATTCATGATCTGTAAGCTACCAAGGCATCTACCATGGATAAAGGGCCAAAATGCAGTTATTTTTATTTGCCTCTGCAAACCTGGGACATCACAGAGGTTCCCAAGGATAGAAACTGGTCTGTGTATCAAAGAGCTTTCTCATGTTAAAGGCTGGGAAAAGCATATGCTCCAATGTCTATGTTTTTTTAACACAGGCAAGCATTTTTGAAAATTGTTCTGTATTTTATCAAAAGCTGGACAATCTTCAGCCCTCAACTTCATCCAAGGTAGAAATAATTAATTCATGCTGCAGGGAGAGCTGGGCAGGACACTTAATGGAACAAACTGGTTTTCCAAACTAACAAGGAAGTTCTGACAGAAATTGTTTTCTAATCACCAATATGCACAGTCCTAGAAGAGGTTAAATTTGCACCCTGTCAGCTCCATGCAGGCACATAAGATCTGCTCTGCACCCTGTAAGATCTCAGAAGATACGTGGCCATCTGACTGGCTGGGCTTGGCTCTTTCACTCATTGAGGAGCTGCTTTCAGGTAAACACTGCAGCAAGAGCAAGTGCTTGTAGCAGAAGATCGGGGCAGGTTAAGTGCTTTAAGAGAACAAAGTTAGAACTTGGTACTGAAATTTATTTTTGCATTGTTTAATCTATAGAGAATGTAATCATCTGAAGAAGAAAAAGTTCTACTAAAAGAAACACCTGGTACAACAGTATTTCTTCACTTTCACAGAAAGAGAGGACTTATTTTGTTATGTTTTTTCTGTTATATGTGATGGAAAGAAATTTTAAATGGTGAAAATGGGATGCCACCAGCTGAATTGCAACTTCATATTTTTGCATGGTGAAATGCAACTTCATATTTTTGCACGGTAGTGGCTCAGTCTAGCAAACAAAAAAAGGTGTGTTTAACTTGCCTCTACTTAAAACAGGTTTTATGAAATATCCATGTTCTAAGTAGTTTGTATGCTAAGACCTAAGAGATAGCCATGATACTTGCTTTTCGTATTAGAGAATCAGCCTTTTTGTTTTAAGGAATGGAATCAAATAATATAAGTCTGCTTAAAAAAATAAATGTTTTAAACACCTCTATGGAAGGCTGATTGTTTATGCTGAGAACTATTATGTTATAGCTGTAAATAAGAGAGGTTTTTTTAGTTATTCTAGACTTCCTGTACCAGAAGAATATGTATTTAGATCAGAGCCATTCAAGAAAAGGCTCTGATCTAAACATGAAGCCTAGAAACTACAGCCGGTCTCCACCTAAAAAATTGTAAAGCTAAAAGTGAATTTTAGTTCCTGACTTTTTGCACTGATAATAACATTTTTAATGGAATCAATGTGTTCTGCCTTGTTAGCTGCATCCAGAATGCATTTTTTTCCAGGTGTTTCACTTACGCTTCAGTCTCAGACTGATCCTTACTATGTAAAGCAATGGTGTATTATCATTCCCCCTATGGAAGCCTCCCAAAGGAGTTCTGTAAAGGGCTTGCATCAGCCAATGCACAAGTCAGCACACCAAAAAAATATCAAAACTGCCATCTAGTGTTACGTTCAAGGTTGGCAAGGAGGCAGCACGGCACAGGTAAGGCAGTGGGAACAATGTGAGAGGTAAGAAGGGATAACCACAGCGATTATACAAAGCTGAACTTAGCTGATGTTCAAGACTATTGAAATCGGCTGATTTATGGGAACTTGAACTATTTGAACTACTACAAATAAGTGAAATAAATTCAAACAAAGCAATTATATGTGAACAAAGCTGTTACGGAGAACCCCAAATATAAATTAGGAATTAAACTCCATTTAAATGGAGTTCATATGTAAATTCATTCAATTATATTATTCTTAATTCTTACTAATTGACAAAGTGAAGCAGCATCTGCTCTGTGTTTCCTAGAAAGTCATATCCACAGTAGTACTAACTCCTTCCTAACAAGTCTGACCATGTGTTTTCTTAGGTGGGATTGCTTATTGAGTAAAAGCTGTAGAGCATAAAGACATTAATAGTATAGCCAAGGAGTCAGAACAAAAGCAGAAGCCAAAACTAATAAATTTTATGTGTAGGAATTTTGTTTGCAGAAAAGTTGGGTACTTTTGAAAGGTTATTTGGAAGTTCACTGTTTGAAATACTGAAGGCATTACTTTGCTTCTAATAAAAAGAAGTATTGTCCATTTTTTCAAGGGAAAGCCAGATAATAGTGTAAAATATCACACATCTGTATATGCTTGCTGTGACAACCTCATTATGAATCTTTTTTCTATAAAGATACAATTTATAATCTCAGTGAAAAGCAGAAACAGCCACTTTCCGTCACACCCAGGAGGGTTAAACAGGGCTGACTTTCTCACAATTTTCCAACGGCCCTTCTGGTGTATGCTAAAGTGAAACCAGGAATGCATGAAAAATACAAAATATTCATATTGCAGCTGAAGTAACAAGATCCGGAAAGCATAGCTGGTGAGGAGGAGGGTAACAAACCACGAGTGGGACACCTACAGTTTATCCAAGGATGGCAGACGATTCACACAGTGTGGCTGTGGTGTTGAATGCTGGGGGATTTTCAGACAAGGCAACATGTGCACGTGCCGTGGCAAGATTGACAGCAACAAGGTGCTGCCAGATTGGACTCTTCTTGTGTGCCTACCCTATGAAAATCAACTCTGCCACGAGGCAGCTGACTTTCAAACAGATACTTAAAACACAATATCCATTTCTACTTGGTTAGATGAGTAGGGGTGGGATGATGCTTACTAGCAGCACCAGTCAGACTTCTCAATATGGCTTAATCACCCCATGAAACTGATGTTTCTGATCTTAATGGTGGCAAAAAAAGAGCCAAGAACTGTAATGCCACAATTGCAGAAATCTTCCTGTCTTGGAGAATTTCATCCTTAGCTATTAGGAGAGAGATAATAAGCCTGTTCTTCTGGTTCAAATAATTTCTTATTGAATAAGCAAAATGGGGATGTTTTTTACGATGGGTAAGGAAAAGAAGTTTGTTCCCAGAATAGACAAGCACATTTTTGCAGTTGCAATTATATTTTATTCTCGTTAAACTCTTTTTTTTGGCGGATTTTGCTTGGTTTTTTTAAATCAAAACAGTCAAAATTGAATCACCATGAAAAAGATTATGAAAAAAGGTCAGGTAAGTAATTATTTACAGCTGATTTATAAAGTTAGCACTTCAGAGAAGAGTAATTTTCTTATTTCTGAAATTATTATTAACTTTCTTAAACAATTGCTTACGTATGAAAAAAATGTGAGTCCCAACAGTAATCTATTATGTAAAGAAAGAGGTTAAGACAATTCAGAAACAAATAAAATTCCCCAAAAGTGAAGATACGCCCTAAGCAATTCAAGTTTTCTCATTTCTGTCATTTTTTCTTATTTAAAATTGTTACTTAAAAATCATGATATTTTTCTATGTCCAGATCACACATAGCATAACTGTCATAAGTTCACCCAAACATGTACCTTAATACCTGAATATCCAGTGACCATCACAAATGGTGGGCCCTGTCCTGCAATCAAGATCAGCTGATTTTAGCAGGACTCCCACAGGTTTCAGGGTTTGCCAGCAGAGAACTCCTATTCTAGAGAACCCAAGGCCCCAGTCCAGAAGAAGGCACCTTTCCTTGGTAAATTTACTACTTTCAACTGTATGGAACTGCTGTTAGTCAACTGCAGGAATTGGATGTAAGGGAGAAGTATTAATCAAATCCAAAACTGCTGTTGTAGGATATCCAGTCTCCATTTATAGTCAGGCTGAAGCATCTTGGAGGGGTCCCTGAATGGCAATAGCTTCAATCTCAACTCTGGCACCCTGTGACAAAACAAGGAAGGAACACTTTAGGAATTTAATGCACCTACTCTGTGAAGCAAGTGGATGTACAACACAACCTTGTAAAAACAGTGACATTTGAGAGAGATTACACTTCTGACAGCTGTATTACTGATTTAGCCAGGTTAAGTAATATTGACAATTCACTTTACACTTACTCATGTATCATAAGCCCTTACTTCTAACGTTGTAACTATCTTCCACCATAAAGAAATTTATATCTCATATTCAGATCTATGATAATGTATGGGAATAAGACTGGTATACTTAAAAAAAAGATGATTAGGAGTTTTCATTCAAATAATTGCAGTTGAAGCTATTTCAGAATAAGAAAAGCTGTCAGAATGCCTCAGAAGTAAGGTATTTCAGAAATGGGGTTTTTTTGTAGGCAGAAAAGTGACACTTACTTTGGGTAAAGCAGCAACTTGATAGGCTGCCCTGGCTGGGAAGTTTGCCTTGAAAACTGTAATTTAAACAGAAACATCCACCAATCAATGAACTTTGCTTGATAAAACACAGTTCAAAGTAATCTGTATAAAATGCAGTCAGTTTGAATAGTTCAAGCCTACAAGTCTCCTGTGCCAGCTATCATTTTCCCCTTGTTGGTTTGTTTTGGTCACTGACTGCTCTCCCATCTCAGCAAGCCACCATTCATCACTAAGAAGCCAGATGCAGTTGTGATCTAGTGACCAGTGATACTTGCACTCTGCTGATACTGCAGGGTCTTAACCCCAGCTTAGCTGAAAGTGAAACAATTGCAAACACCAGGGAGTGGGAGATGGCTCTTTCAGAGAAAGAGCAAGAGAGAGAAACAGCACCCTGCCAAAAGTGTCATGAGCAAAGACCCCAGATTTATGCAAAGTCAACAGGAGTCCAAACTTACTCATCTCAAAGGAAGACAGAGAAAAAATAGGCCCTTGGCCCATTCCTCTGTGCCCACTTAAACCTGGAGCTCACAGGTGTTACAACAGGGGGTGAGGCAGGGGTAAGGGTACTTGTAAAGGTACAAGAGCTGAATTTGTAGAATCACAGAATAGCTGAGGTTGGGGGAAACATTTAAGGCTCACATAGTCATATCCACTGCCCCTGCCATGGCCAAAAACATCTTTCATTAGATCAGGTTGCTCAAAGCCCCATCCAACCTGGCTTCAAACATTTCCAAGGAGTTTGCATAATTAAATGAAACTTCACTCAAAGCCGTTAATCACTGAGATAATAACTCACAAGGAAAGAACAGCAACAACTGCTTTCTTGAGGTACAGGTAGGAGAAAACACGTAACTAAGCATCCATCCAGCTGGTCTGTTTTTACCCTGCTTAAACACACACACCATTCCATTTTGACATGCAGAATATTGTGTTGACTGCTCATCGATTAAAGACTTCACTCAAGATCAGATGTCACTACCTAATTAAAGCCAAAGGAACATAAGGAACTCATGTGCATAATCTCTCAAATTCTTTTCCACAATATGGCCCATTGGCATCACCTATTTCAGTTTACATTCAGTTTTGTTAACCAAGCACTGTCCGTTTTTTTCCTCAAGTGGAGCAGCGTAGCTCACCTTTGTACAAAAAACGATCCCTGTGTCATAACAATAACCCACAAATTCTTCAAAGATATAAACAGACTTTAAAGAAATGGAGATACAAAATCTAAAATGAAGCATTTGAAGGCCACCTACAGTAGAATTATATTAGGAACAACAGAGCATCTATAGAGATAGAGGCATGGAAGATCAACCTGGAGGGATAGCAGGAGTTGATCTTCACAGGACAGTGAGTTAGTGGGATGATAGGTCACAAACCTACAAGAAATTAGGCTGTGCTTGATCTGATGCTTGCAAAGGAATTTTTGTTTTTAATTTGTTCTCGAATTTCAAGCAGTATGGAACCGCATCATCTGAGTCATTCAAACACGTTGAATACCACAAATATAATTTGTTACACAAGCCATACTGATAAAACAGAAAAAAAAGTCTACTTACATTGCTTATAAACATCATTAATATCATTGTAGTCCTTCATGTCTGCCATCAAAACCGTAGTCTTCACAACTAGAAATTATATAACTGCAGTTATTTTAGACCTCAGCCTTGTATACAAAAGTTGAAAAACTTTAATGCATTTCTTACTTTTATTTCATAAAGTTCTCTTGAGTATTCTAAACATTTTGAAAAGTTTTGCAAACAGATACTGACCATTAGAGATACAGCCTAGAGAACCACCAAAAAAATCTGAGCACCTCGTATTAATAAAACTTTAAGGACTTGAGGCATTCCTGACCAGCTCTGAAAAAGCCAAAATCTTCCAAGAGGCACAGAACTCACAAGCAAGTCAATTAAAAAAGCTCTTGTAAACCAACTGTTGGCAATAACTTAAAACATATATAATATCTGTTGTGAAAAAAGTCCAGAAAAAGGCCTGAAAATATAGTCCATGCTAGAATTTTTTGCCCACGACTGTCCAAGCCAGCATTAATCCTGGTTTGGCTGCACTATTAGAGTCCTCCCCCCAAAAAGTACTGAAAGTGCCTAGAATGTTAATACAATAGACACAAACCTGCTTTTACCTGGAGCAAAGCCTAGGATGCTTAAAATGCATGTAGCCAGGTGCAGCTCTGCCTATACCTAAGCTTTCCCAGCTGGAGTTAAAGTATTTGTACCACTGGCAGAAAGTTTCAGTGAAGAGCAGCGTTCCATTGATACCCATTGCAAAGATCACTTTAAAGGTCACTTGATTTTTTTTGTATCTCAATTCAGGTAAAAACAACTACTTGTTTGCCACCATCACAGCACCACTTACCATTTCCGTAGTCACAGCCTGCAGCTTTCAGGATTTCTCCCATGTTTTTTAGAGCCTAAGGAAAATGGAACAAAAATCTTTTAACTATCAGCTGGGTTATATTTATGTAAGTATGTAAATATGACTTGTAACTTGGCTGCATCCATGTTATATTGTAAGTTCACCCAGCAAAACCTCAACTGTCAAAACTGACCACAATAAAAATTAATAAAACCATAAATATTAAACCATCCATTCATTAGATGTAAATTTATGATGCAGCTCCATCTCATCCTATTCCACCTCACTGCTTCTGGGGGAATAAATCTTTGCCCAAATCAAGCCAAGGTTTTTACAGGGGTGTGAACCTTTCTTACAAACATTGATTCTTTCTTACTTTCCTATATAAAAACACAGATTCCTCCCCTGACCTCCAAGTTGTCCAAGCGGAAAAAAGACAGGGTTAGAAAGGAATGACTTTTTCTTGCTTTTTCTTCATCTGGAGGATATAAAATGCACTTTCTAGTCCTCTCAATTTCTCACAAGTCCACATTTAACTAAACTCGTGGCAACCCCAGTACAAGTTAATTGCTAGAAGACTTCTTACCTGCTTAGCTTCCTCCTTTGCCCCTCCAGAGACGAGCTGCCCGGTGGAAGGTTCTAAGCCTATCTGTCCCGCAATGTACATTGTCCGGTCCACCAGCACGGCTTGGCTGAAAACACAAGTCACATTGTAGGTTTTATGTTTCCCCATGAAAACATCCAAGTATCTGAAAGCACATTTCAGATTTTTCTACAGGAGTTTATAATATCTCAGAAAGAGGACTGAGGTTATGCACACACAAGTCTGTGCACAAAGTCATACACTCAGTTGGTGAATGCTTTTGGAAGTGCTGGGATTAGACCCTCTATGGAATTGCATAGATCTGGTTTTGAGGAAATAAACCCCATTTCTTGCAAAGGTTCAGGGTATGAATGCACCAAACTGACCTATAGATTCCACACTGCAGATAGCACAGAAGCAAGGCAGAGTAAATAGACATTTTTTGGACATGACTAGATAAATATTCCATGCTAGTTTGAGAAGCAGACAATACCTTTTATCTACATCTCAGCTGCAGAGCAATGAGGGGAATGAAGGGGGGGTAAAAACCACAAAAAAGAAAAATCAAAAGAGGGCTCATTAGAAAATTTAAGAGTTTTCTTCTCAAACGGGCACCACAGTAACGAGTTACAGTTGTGAGATGACACCCTGCCCACTAGTACTTTGGCAGTATTTCCCCATAGTAATGAATTTGGCCAGTTAGCAAAACACCTTGATCACTCCATCCCCAGAACAATCACCCTCCTCTCACCAAATAACCTGAGTGACCTGTTGGCTGGGTTAATTCAGAAGAATGCAGAGTTAAAGCTAGTTGCAAAACATTTTTATATAAATGTCAGGTGTGTTTTTGCTGAAGTAGAATTAGCAATTATTAATGTCTCTAGTTATCACAAAGAGATTAAAAGATTAAAACAAAGATTTAAACTACCTAGCAAACATTATGCAAGAGATATAATTTAGTTCTCTTCAGCCAGTAATTGAAAATATTTTGCAAAGGAATTAGAGAAAGATTTTTGAAAGTGTTTGTGATGTGTCAACACTGTTTTTCTTATCTCTTCCATTCTACAAGAAAATGCACTGTTTTGACCATTCAACAAGTCTCTCAAACTACATAAACTAGCCAAGAACATCCCCGAAGTATCTGAAGGAATTTAGCTTCCCTTTAATGTCAGTAGAAAAAAGAAATGGACACTTTCAGAGTATATTTTATTACATCTCTTCTCTCAATTGAGACTGACTCAGTTGGATTGTCTCAATCCAACCTCACAGGGGACACACATGATTTAGGGACTCAGTAAAATAATTAGGGTCAGGCAGTTCAAACAGGGCCATCACTCCCATCTTTCCTTTTATCCCTGTCCTATGTTCTCCTGTAATTTCATAAGGGGAAAAAACAGAGAGTAAGCTACTGGATATGGTGAAATATCTTATGTGACAACTATTTTTTCTGTCATCAACTAACAAAACTGGAGTAAATCACAGAACTACATCATTTAAAGACAAGAAACTAGTGAATAAAGTCATTTTCCAGCCAACATAATCTTGCTGATAGAAAATGTGTGCCTGTACACACATGCTACCTTAATTTTCTTTCCTACCATGTCCTGCTTTGAGGCACAGCCCCTCAGCACATAAACTTCTGTTCTGTTGAAGCACAGAGAACCATGCAACAAGAAGGTATGAGCCCTCTAAACAAAAAAGAAGACATTGTCTTGTACTGCTTAGTATAAAATGAATGTCATGACAAGATGTTTATCTCAACAGACAAAAAAAAAATCCTAAATCACAAATAACTAGGGAAAAAACATGCTGCAGCCTTCTGATACCACTGCCAGACCAGCATCTGCAACAGCCTTATTGGGTCCCCTTCTCTGCTCCTCCTCAGCCTCCTTCTCTTGGTATGCTTACTGATGGACTCCTCCATTCACTAATACCAGTAACAATTTACCAGCCAAGGGGTACAGTTCTACTGCAGTCAAATGCATGAGTGAGGCTCGGAGAAACTTCAACCACACAAACCCCAATCACTCTATACTGCAGATGTACCCTACAACTAGGGTCAATCACAGGTACTCATTAATCTCAATCAGCAGAGATTTGATTGTGTGTCTAAAGTCATTCAGGTTTCAGTGTGTCTAAATGCATAACTGGACTAACACTGTGACTCTGGAAGAACACTGTCCATCAGAGAGACAGTGTTTAAAGAGAAGGACTGCCAAGTTAAACAGATCTTCTTTACACAAATTATTGTGGATTAATACAAGAACAGTATCTCTGCAGAGTCTTCTAAAGGGTTAATAACATTAATGAAATCTACATATAACATTAATGATATCTATATATACACATACACAGATACGTGTCTTTTTAAATATCTACCTACCTACCTATCTCAGGGTACTGGCAAAGGGATGTAGTAAAGGAAATAGAAAAATACAGTAAAAATACAGTAAAAATTGGTCACCAAAAAGCATACTGAATGCCTGTAGCAGAACTAAAATGCATCCCGCACATCCCAATTCTTTATTCCATATTAAACCCACATTCCTGTGTTACCATGCTCAAATTTCACAGTAGAGATGGGGCAGTTACTTCTTGTGCAACTTCTGCTCCCTGGACTTTGACAAGTTTACTGAAATCTGATAAACTAAGTTAGTGATAAACTAATGGATGTTAGACAATTTACAGACAGCATAATAAGAAGTATTTCACCAAGAGCTACCAGTAAGCACAAAATGTTGGAGGGCAGTTAATGCACAACAGAAGTGGAGAGCTATATTGCAGACTGGGCCAGTGTGGTGTGTGTGGGTGTGCAGCAGAAGGATCGTTGCCTTTCCATGTCTTAGACGTTCTGCTAACGCCAAGCAGTGCCGGGCCCCTGGCTGCAGTCCAACAGCAGTTTATTGTTTACAGAAGTTAACCTTCATGTCATGTCTCTTGGCTTCTACACTTTGTATTTTTCCATCTTTATAATGCCTATAAGGAACACACAGTTTGAAGCTCAGAAAGCTCAGGACACATAGCAATGGAAACAAAAACGCACCTGGAAGGCAACAAGGTGCTATTGGGAATACAAAACCTGAATGCAGAATGTTATATAAAATGCTCTAGTAAAAAACCCTCGGTACCTTAGCTGTAAGAGTCTACTATACTGATTGAACATTTTTTTCTCATTCATATAGTAAAGAGAAACCTTTCTCCAATCAAAACTGGGATTTTTCTTTTTTTTTTTAAATTACATGCAGATCTGCTGCAACAACAAACTTGTTGTGAAAATGTTGAACAACTTCTTACATATTTTTACAGCAGTTAGTTTTTAGCCTGAAAAGCATTTATAAACATTCAAAAATAAGACAGGATCTGCAATTCCTAGGCACTGGACTCTCCATTTGCCCAAGCTTGCCCTGGATCAGGCTCAGCCTTTCCTCTCCATCACCTCCATAGTCAGCACTCTCTGTAACTTCCCTGCACAACCACCTTGTCTATAGGCAAACACTGTTCCTGGAGAGGAATCATTCTTCCTCTTGCAGTTTATTTTCACTCACTTCTTGCCACTAATTTCAGAATTATTTTCCCAAACTGACTTTTGGAGGGACATTTTAAAATGACTAGGGGACATTCCCCCTGCGTGGCAGTGTGGCCCCGCTCCTGCTGATGGACTCCAGGTGTCCCTGGGGTCACCGGGGAGAGGACCAGCCCCTGCTCAGGGGTCCTGCCCTCATCTCTGCCCCAGGGCTGCCTGACAGACCCCACTGGGGTCTGTCTGCCAAAACTTCACCTGGAAAGCCTGCTTCTGCTTCTCCCAAGAGACCTCTTCCTCACAGAATAACAGAATTGTTAGGGCTGGAAGGGACCTCTGGAGATCAGCCAGTCCAACCCCCCTGCTAAGGCAGAGTCACCTAGAGCAGGACACATAGGGATGCGTCCAGGTGGGTTTTGAATGTGTCTAGAGAGGGAGACTCCATGACCTCCCGGGGCAGCCTGTTCAGTGCTCTACCACTCTCAATGTAAACTTCTTCCTCATGTTGAAGTGAAACTTCTTGTGTTTTAGTTTATGGCCATTGCTTCTTGTCCTGTCACTGGGCATCACCAAAATGAGTCTGGCACCATCCTCTTGGCACCCGCCTTTGAGATACTTGTATGTCCTGATGAGATCCCCTCTGTCTTCTCTTCTCTAGACTAAACAGGCTCAGCTCCCGCATTCTCTTCTCCTAAGAGAGATGCTCCGGACCCCTCATCATCTTTGTGCTCTGTGCTGGACCCTCTCCAGTAGCTCCTTGTCTTTCTTGAACTGAGGAGGCCAGAACTAGACAAAGTACTCCAGATGTGGCCTCACTGGGGCCAAGCAGAAGGGCAGGATCACCTCCCTCAGCTTGCTGGCCGCACTCTTCCCGATGCACCCCAGGATACTGTGGACCCTCCTGGCCGCAGGGGCACTGCCAGCTCATGGTCAACTTGTCATCCACCAAGACTCCCAAGTCCTTTCTCAGCTAAGGAGTTACCTGTAGGGACCCAGCGCAGGGGCCTTCGTAGTGCTGATTATTTTCTTCACGAGCGAGGCCATAGCTGACGCTGGTGCCGCGGTGGGTGCCGGTGCTGCCCTCGGTGCCCGCCCCTCCCCGCCCCTCCCCACCTCCCCTCAGGGCCCCAAGGACGCACACCCCACCCACCGCCGCCCGCAGGGGTTTGTGGGAAATGTAGTCCCCGCAGCTGCCGGGGGGAGGGGGAGGATTGTGCGCATGCGCTATGGTGCGTGCAGGCAGCCGCGTGTGCCGGTGGAGGCCGCGCTGCGAGTGAGTCCCCGGTGTGTGGGGGTGCCTGTGCTCGCTGTGCTCGCTCCGCCCGCGGCTGCACTGCCCGCCAGCCCCTCCCCGCGTTCCCCTGCTACCCAGAGGCTCGGCAGCCCCCGCCGGAGATGTCTGGGGCGCGGGAGAAGAAGCGGGCCAAGAAGATGAGGAACCAGCCGGCCAGCGTGACGCTTCCCGCAGAGCCGGGGCCCTTCGCCGGCGGCGGGAGCAGAGCCTGCCCTCCCCCAGGTATGGCCGGCCGGTTGTCTCCGTCCCCTCGGCCCCTGGTGTGCCCGCCGTGGGAGTACCCAGGGCTTCGTCCCCTGTTGTAGACTCCTTTAGTCCTGGTGCTGCCATAAATCCCGTTAGTACGGGATGCATGTTAGTATGGGAGAATCCTGGAGTCTCCGTCTCCGGAGTAATTCCAAATCCACCAGGGCGCGTTCCTGTGTATCCTGCTTTAGGTGACCCTGCCTTGACTGAGGTGGGAGGTTGGACGGGATGATCTCCAGAGGTCCGTTCCGACCCTGACAGTTCTGGGAATATGCACTTCTCTGTATCATTCATTCGATTACACAACAAATCCTTGTGGTTCCTAATCTTAAAATGAATTTGGGTGTTATATTCCATCGAGCGGCCCCCCTCTTTTTCTGTCAGACCTCAGAGCTGCAGGAGGGACTGGTTTAGCCTTCTGGCACTGTGATAAATGCTCTGGTTTTCTCTCAGATCAGCGTACCCTACCAGTTTGCCTCTTGGGGCTTGTGGCTCCTGTATCTATGGAAGGGTATGGGTAGGAGGCAGCAAGGCCGGTCCCTAAAATGGCAATGTCTCTGAGTCATTGCTGGAGCTTTTTGTACACAGGTAACCTTTGCAGCTGAAGACTGAAGAATCCTGCCAGCTTGTATGGCACATGCTTTTTTTGTCTGTGTTTTGACCTGCATCCTGTATGCTTCAATTGGACCTCAGTTTCCACCCCACATCCTCCCATTTAGATACTTCGTTACCTATAAACACCGCACATGAAAGGGCTTGTTACTGTGAGACTTTCAAAAGATGACAAATTGCATCTTTGTGGTTGAACAAAAAAAATACTCAAGTGTCACAATGTATTTAGGCGACTGAAGAGCTCCTAAACACACAGAATGACATTGCAAATTATGCTCAGTCTTGTCTGAATATTTTGGAATATCATTACAGCAGTACTGCCAGATTAAACACATTTTTCTAATTTTATTTATAGCAGGGAACTTCTAAGATTACGTGGTTATGCTTTTCTGTTCTGTTAAACAGAGTGGATTTTCATCCATGTAACATTCTTTGGTAATGTTACTATCTCAGTTTTACAGGGCTATTTTGTAGAAACAGGAAAGAAAAATTCTAAATAGGAGTTGTAAAACTATGGATATCCATAGAAGCTGAAATAATTTAAATTTTATTTAGGTGTTAAGTCATTTACTGCTTTTTGAAACACGCTTCCATTTTCTGATTAAAATTTTTAGTTCTTCTATGGAGAGGGTGTGTTTGTGATATGAGATAATTTTGGGCTGTAAACCTACACAGATTTGCTGTCTGAGGCAGCTTCCATCCCTCTTTCCTAACTGTTTCCTTCTCACCTTCACCTCAGTGCCTGGACAGTACTTCTCTCAGCTATGTGGAAAAACTAGGTCAAGGAGTTGTTCTGCATGAAAGCTGATATCTGTTTTCCACACCAAATTACTTTTTTAGCTGTACTGCTGCAGTTCTGCATGATTTGTGGTTGCAGCAGGCTGTGACAGCATTGCTGCTGAACATAAAACTTCAGCTTCTTGCTTTTTTGAAATGGAAAAAGGAGGTTCTTTGCCGTTTTTAATTCACATAAATTGATGCTGCTGGAGGTGAATCTGCTCCTGGCTGTTCTTCATGCCAATGGTAGCATTTTTGAAATGAAAGGACAGGCTTGTCTCACCCCATTTCTCTGCACATACAGATTGATTTTTCACTAGAGAAGTCCCTGAACTGCATGGCCCCATGTCCTCTCAAGTACTCATCTTGATGAAGTGGGTGGGGTGGTGGGAATGGCTGTCTGGGCCCTTTTTAGTTAGGTTGTCCAGCTTGAACAGCCTGAGAACCATATCTCAAGCTATACTAGAAATCCTAACCAAGACTTAACTGAATATTAAGTAATCTAAACTAATATATCATATTAGTTAGGGTGAATATACACTAATCATTGAATATGGACTTCAAGGCCCTCTTCAATTTTAAGTACTGCTAAGCACTCTTGATATATAGTGTCAGAGAAGAATACATTTGCTTATAGGAACAAAGGTCAAGGGGGAAGATGAAAAATAACTCCTGGTTTGGTACTAAATCTCTGAACAGACAATAATAAAAATCACTACTGATGTCGCATGGATCAATTTCAGTCAGGCTCTTGGAGGCAAAGTCTGGATTGGGTACCATTTTCAGAATAGGCAAAAGTTACTTAAGGTACTCCAGGTTTGCTGCAGGACAGTGTAAAATTCTTATTTATTCCTATAAGAATTTGATTTCTGATGGCTTTTTCAGTTACATATATTAAGTATAATAGGAGGAATCTACGCTGCAGTTTTATGAGGAAAGACTGTAGGGTTATAGTTACTCAGACTGCTTTGCATTTCTCTAACCTCTTTTCATCTCTAAACCTTCCAGGAGATGTTCGTTCTGAGCAGCAGCATCAGCAGCAGAAGTTCTCAAATCAGTTAGCTGGGCCTTCTCACAGGAAAGACCAATATTTCACAAATGGGCAAAGTAGAGGAGAGAGAGCCAGAGGAAGAGGAGGATGGCAAGGAGGATTCCAGAGCGTTTCTGAGGAAATGCCAAAATACATAACAGGTTTGTATATATGAGGTCATAATTTTATGTCCAGGACAATTTTGCTGGTGATGAAGTTTGTTGTGTGTCTTTGTTTTTGTGCAAGAGCAAAAATTAGAACTGATTCTATGTTCTTCTGGTTTTCTTTCCTGATTTTCTCCAAAACACAGAAGTAGTTGTGAACTGGATTGAATGACCAGCTGTTGTTCAGTGGGTCCTTTCGGACTTCTGAGTTGAAAAGCTGCACCTGCTTGTAGTGAGGGATATGCATTTTGGTTTCTGTTTGCCAGCAAAATGAGTACTGACAGTCATCTGCTTTTAATGTAGCCAATGAGACTGATTTTACCCATGATGTAAGTTAAAGACAGCTTTTTGTCTAATAGAACGTTTATTTAGGAGAGCAGATTAGCTTTGCAAAATGTGGCAGTGCTCTGATATTGGTAGATTTTCATAAGCATAAAAGAAGACCAAGATCTGTATTTTTACTTCATATGTGATGTCTGTAATGTGATTACTTTTTCCCTTTTTTTCCACACTGAAGTTCTTTTCATCTTTCTGAATACCATCTGAAAAGATTTTTATTCTAATTTAACAAAGAACTGTTTAATGCAAATAGGACTTCATGGTTATACCACGGCTTTTGGATTCATTCGTGTATAAATATTAGCTTGAACATATCTGTAAGCTTCAGGATATCTAAAGAACTGAAATTTCTTCAGTAATGGTGTGTAGTACTTTTACGTCAAGCACGTACTGGACTGATGTACTAGGAATAATTCCATAATTTATGTACAGTATCCTTGTCTTTGTTTTTTGCCATTTGTCATGTTCTGATGCAGTCCTTTTCATTCCAGTGTCTACCTTTGCTCAAGCTCGTGCTGCTGAAATCAATGCCATGTTGAAAGCAGTTTCGCAGAAGTCTTCAAACTCTCTGGTTTTCCAGACTCTACCCAGGCACATGCGAAGGCGAGCAATGAGTCACAACATCAAACGCCTACCCAGGCGGCTCCAAGAGATGGCCAAGAAAGAGGTATAAGTGCATTTTACAGTGTTTGATGTAGTGGGCATAGCTAATGCACAGTGTTCAGCTGTACGTTTATTAATGTTAAGACCTGTAATTATTTGCAAAACTTCCCTGGGTGTCCTAAAGTTTGAGTGACATTTGGATACAAAATGCAGGAACACCTCAGTTTTAGGTGTTACCTCACGTAGGCCTCATTAACCACTTGGCTTTGCGATTGCTGGACATCTTGAAAATTATCAGAGTAGTGTTAAAAGGGCCCACTGCAGGAGGGTTTGTTCAGCTAGTGTGCTGGTCTCAGGTCGTCCAGGAGTCCTCAGTACAACCTGTCTGCCTTGCACCACCGCAGTTTTAGGGTGTGACCCTGCTGGCTCAAACCAGCATGGCTGATGCATAGTTCCCGTATTATAGCTCAAATGTGGGAGGTACACTGGGGTTATTGGCAGGCTGCATGCAGCTTGAGGCTTACTTACTGTCTATTCCTAGTGGCTCATGAAACTCATTTTTTGTCAGTATTTCAACATTTAATGAGAAAACGCCCATGGAGTTACTTGCTCCTTACCCCTTGTGGCTTTCATGTATGTTTAAAAAAAAATAGGTTTGGCAGGATTTTATTGGGAAATGATCTTTCTGATGTTTCACATTGATCACTTTATCATCTCTAGAGACTTCTTAAAGTGATTAAGTTTGCTTGGCAAATTTTCTATGTATTAAGGTAGACTGATAATTGTATTTATTGCATTCTTTTTTTCCCTTGCATTGTCTTTCTTAAGTTCTTTGAGACCTTATTGTTTCATCTTCAGTTCCTGAAGATAATTGTTAATGGTTTGAAATTGCTTTGGGTACTTCCTTGCCACACACCAACTACGTGTTTCTTAGGGTGTGTTTTATTGGGTCTTCAAAATCCACAACTCTTATTTTACTGTCTTGATTAGCATTCTTTTTGCTTTGTCAGTCATGACAAGAGATGCAGTTTGGCCTGTTTTCTGACAACTGGAGGAAGAAGATGTGGG